CAGATCTCGCCCTACGCATGCGATCGCTAGATGAATGAAGGAGATCTTGGCGAAGCTGGGATGAGCACATGCAACATCATGGCTTGGGTGGGGTAAGTCCCCCGTGGAACCCCACCCGCCTTCCGCGAGCCCCCCCTGCTGCCAAGCAACGTCAAAACACATGGGTTCGGGAAATCTGCAGGGGCAGGGCTTTTTTTACACCCCGAATTGGCTCCCTTGGCACCCTGTTCAGGATTTGGGTTTTTTTCGCACCCTGTCCGGACTGCCCTGGGCTGGGTCTGGGGCTTTTTTCGCGCCCGGGCTGAGTTTAGTGCTGCACATGTTTAGGGGCGATTCCCAGCTTGGGGGTCGGCTTCTTCAGGGGGATTGGAGTCATTTGGGGATGAGGCCAGGCTGGGTCTCATAGCTGTGCTTAGGCTTAAGGCTTACAGGTTGAGTTTCGGTGTTATGGCCAGGTTTAGGGTCCATGGAGAGACCTCTACCGTTACGTTTCGGGCTTAGGGCGCTTTGGGGTCTTTTGTTTTGGGGGGTCTTTTTTTTATCGATTTTCTTGGTTTTCTCTAGGAAAAACCTACTTTCCTTACATTTTGGACGGATTTTCTGTCATTTCCCTTAGGTTTTCGTTGGTTTTCCATAGGGAAAACCGTATTTCTTTTAGATCTTAAACGGATTTCCTGTCATTTCCCTTAGGTATTCCTTGGTTTTTCCTAGGGTGTCATTTCCTTGAGGTTTTCGTTGGTTTTTCCTAAGGAAACCCTATTCTGCTTACATTTTGGACGGATTTCGTCAAACGTAATAGCGTACGTTGCTTTTCCTTCTTTTTCCTAGGGAAAACCCTATTTGGTTCGTTTCTTGGTTTCTATCATTCCCTCTATATTTTCATCGGATTCATACTACTTTTCGTCAGATTTCTTATTAATGCTTCTTTTGTGATTCGCTTTCTTGGTTTTTCCGTGGGAAAAAGCTACATTCCGTCCATATTTTCATGGGATTCATTCTGCGTTTCGTAATATTAACTATCTTTATGGTGTGTTTTCTTGCTTTTCCTTGTAAAAAGCTGCATTCCCTCTATGTTTTCATATTATTCATACGCTCACATGATGGGTGTCAACAAGTTCTTGGGCTTTGAAGCGCGCTCTGCACGGCTTGAAAAAAAGCGGGAGGGTTGGGGGGGGCGCAGCCCCAGCCCCCCCCCTCACCCCATTTGCAAACGCAAT